GCAGCTATGTTCGGCCAAGTCTTGTGTCCATCTATTTGTGAGCTCCAAACCCTCTTCCAGCCGCATCTTCAAAAGAGAAGCATTCACACAGCATATTTTTTTCATCGGCAGCAACGCATGTGGGCATGGGTGCGCCTGGGCATGAATCAACGCAGTGAAGGGGCTGGCATCAATCATTTGCGTTATCTTGCCATGGGCGAGCGCCATCTCAAGTATCAGCCACTGTGTGCTACAGTATTTAATGGCGAGGGGTGGGGGGGAAAAATCCAGACATCCAGACATCCAGAGATCCAGAGATCCAGACATCCAGACATCCAGAGATCCGGAGACCAGCCGACGTATTTCCCGCACAAAGGACATATACATTAAACCTATAGAACACCTATGGATGAATTGGAGTGCATTTGGGCGCTGGCAAGTGCATTCCATGTGTCGAAATGCATGGGCTAACTACGGTGGACCATACACTGCAACGCATGACAATGCGGGGGGTTCCCAGCCATAGCTTCATGCCTAAAGCAAATGATCTTCAAGATAGATACAGAGGTTAAACCCTGATTTTGCACAGCCAGGGGGCTATTGGAGCTTTGATCCACGCCAAAGGCCCGGGCGCCTTTCTACTTCTTTGCATTTACGTATCCCACCCCCCCAAAGTCGGGTTTGGCTGACGATCCGCGAGGCTTTCTGGGCTTCTCCCAGGGCGCGATGCTGGCGTCCCTCACGGCGCTCACGTCCCCCTGCGCGGGGGTGGCGGCGTTGTGTGGGGGCGTGCCATGGCACCTCGAGGCGCGGCGGGCGCCGGACATCTTTCGGCGCGAAATCGTTTCAGGGGATCCCGAAAGGAAATGGGCAGGGGATGGTTCAGTTCGGGGCCAAAACCCTCATCCAAAACCAGCAAGTTTGGGAGGGCGCCTGGCTTTGGAAGCGCCGTTTGAGCGCCTCCCCCCAGATTCGCACGCAGGCGCCGTGCACTGAGACGCCGGTTCTGCTGGTGGGCGGGGCCTTGGACGGCACGGTGACGCTGGAGACCACGCGGCTGGCCTATGGACGCCTGGAGGCGCTCAAGATGAAAAGGGTGCAGTACCTGGAGCTGCCCCGCTTGGCCCACGAGATCTCGGAGGAGGTGGTGGGCTTGGCGCCTCCGCATGCATGAAGCCTTGTGGGCAAGTGCTCAGGGACTCGGAGGGGCTCAGAGGCAGAATTCAGAAGCTGAGAAGCAAGTCAAGGCGACGGAAGTGCTGCCCCTCAGCAGTGGTTTCCTTTCGATTCTTTTGCATGAAGGATCCCAACAGTCTTTGTTTCTCCTGCCATTGGCACATCCAGGTTGAGGGGGGTTCCATGAGCGGCTTTCTTCCATGTCTTCCCACCGAGGTGAAGGCCTTCTTCGCGGCCCACCTGCCGCGCCCCGCCGAAGCCGCCGGAGCCGCCGAGGCCGGCGTGCTGCAGATCCCGGAGGGCGCGGAGGTGGCCTTGCTGTGCGGGCGCGGAGCGCGAGGGGTCGTGGAGGGCGCAGAGGGGGAGGACGGGGACGGGCCTCAAGCGTGGAACTTGTACCGTTGATTCATCATCAGAAGAAACTGCCAAAATTAGGCAATGGCCGCGCCGACTGACATTTCCCTGTTGGAGAGCAGAGCTCTCCAAGAGGGGACGAGGGCGGACATCCGAGGGTGCCGGGAAGGCGGAAGCTGTCTTCCAGCGCTCCCTTTCGGGTTCCGTGTTTGTTCTTTTGGGAGGGTTGGGCACGGCGAGCTCTGCCTTAGGACTACAGTTGGCTGAAAGTAGATGGCGCAAATAGTTTTTGGTTTAATCAATTTTTACCCACTTTTTGTCGGCCTACATCCACTCAGACAGTGTGTTGACTTGGGAAGGTGGCAACGCACTTGCGGTGGACATCACATGCACGTAATATTGAGACAAACACAATTGATTTGATGGACCTTCTCTTCAAAATCCACATTATCGTCCGAGATTCTTCCACAGGTCAGCCTTCAATTCCTTGCACCATTTTGGCAACACTCCTTCTTTTGCGTATTCCGTGATGTGCCCTTGCCAACGGGGGAGTCCCACACGTGAGCCTCCATAGCCTCAAGGTTGAGAGGGGTGTTGGTGTGAAACTCTAAGACACGCTCGGCTCAACTGGATGGAGCCGACAGGTTCAAAATCTGTCCCCTTGTCTACAGATCATTTTTAGGTATCCCTTAAAGAAACCGCCCATGTTTGTTCAATCCGATTTTACCTGGCCCAACCCTGGCGCACTTATTCGGGTTTCGATCTCCTGGAGAGCAAGCGAGGTGATACGAGTGAAACTTGAGAAATGGCAGCTGAAGAAAGTGGGGTGGAATTCAACCCTTCGCTCGGAATTCCTGCATTCCAAATTCTGAAAGCACTTGCCGCAAGGCCAGTCTGTAGGAAAGGGGTGTTGGGAATGAACCGACTGGACGAAATCCTGCATGGGATAGTTTTGTTCACCCTATATGGCATCGACCACCTAGCAACTTCTACGCCGATCGGCGTGGATTTGGTCCATGCAGAGCTCCAGCTCGAGGACTACTGGGTGCGCCTTGGCTCGGAGCGTCTGCTGCTCCCGGCCGCAGCCTTCGTCCAGCGCCTACCCGCTTCGTTGCTGTCCGGAGGCGGGGATGTGATCCGAAGGCCTGGCACATGCTTGTTGTTGGGACACATTTTGCATTTGTGCTTGTTGTGGTTTAGTGGGAAATCCCCACTTCACTGCTAGAATTTAAACTTTTGCTCCCCTTCCAACGTCAACCAAGGGAAGGTCCAAGAAGTGTGACTTGGGTGATTGCGACCGAACTTGGTCAAAACATGGAGCCCCAAAAGCAGGTGGGCCACGCAAAAAGCTGCGCGAAGTAAATGGGGATGGTTTTTTGGTACACGCTCCAAAGGGGCATCAGCCCATGCGGAAACTCCACACATCTGGACAGTGGCTCAGACGACCTTAATGGGAACATGTTTGGCCCCCAAGCAGAGTTGAAGTCCTGTAGGGGCTCCCAATTGCTCCGCGCCCACTACCTCCCTTTTTCTTTGCCGAGTTCCTCTCCCAAAAGTTTTCATAAATCCCTTCTCAGCCGGCAAACATGGGTAAACCCGAAAGGGTTCCAAGTCTTTTTTGTCAATCAGGGGTCCAACACCTTTTGGCCCATGAAAGGTGCGTGTCCCTTGGTGGGGGTGTTGTTTTTAGGGGAGTTATAGGGAGCCCTGTCAATCTCCAAAGGTTCCAACTCCTTTTCTAGGCTGGGCAACGTTTTCCGCGCTTGCCCTCTGTTCAAGGCGGCGAGCCAGCGGCAGCCTGTCGCGTGCGCGACCTGCGCCTGACAGCGTCGGGGGCGGTGGAGGCGGTGCTACTGGAGGCGAGTTCTGAAGGGAGCCAGGGTGTGGTGTGCCTACTGAACCCCCCGGCATGAAGGAACTGAAAATAGAGAGGTTGCCTCTTTGAACCTTTGGACCTGCCATATGTTTGTTTTTGTAGGATGTAAGGCACTCCAATCAATTTCTGTTGGTATTGCTTTGGAGCAAGCCTTTGCGACGGACTTGACTCCCTGCGTAATGGATGAGCCAATCACCGGTTTCACTGTGCTAACAGATTGCCAGTGGAATCCATAGTCCATCTAGTTCCTCAAACAGTGTGTCAACACCTCTGTAGGATTCTTAGGGTACGAAAGAGTCAAGGGCCGTGCTCGCTCTGGTTTGGACCATATTTTTTCTGGAGGATGCATCCAGGGCCTTGGGGCCTTCCCAGCACACCCCGAGGGCTGCGCTCCGGGCCCGGTGGCCGCGGAGGCCGCGGAGGCCGCGGAGGCCGAGGCCGCGGAGGCCGCGGAGGCCGTGGCGCCCCACCGGCTGCGCCTGCCGCTGGGCTCGGTGCTGCGGCTGCAGGGCCTCCAGCAGAGCGCGCAGCGCCTGCGACCGCTGGAGGCGGGTTGCCTTGGGCTGGGCGGGCGAATGGGGTACCTATGAACATCTATGCAACAGGGTGGGTAGAACACCGCAGATTGGGTGGTCATTTGCCTTTTGGCCTTTTGGGGGATTCGGTGGCAGGGATTCTCAAAGGCAAGCCAAGCCACCAAGTGAATAGCAGGATTTGGTCTCTGGGAAGCTCAAGCACAAAAAAGAGTCCCAGGATCTCTCAAACTGCAAACACCCAAAGCCACCCCCAAAACCACCCCAAACCCCACAACCCCCCCAAAACCCCCAAACCCCAAAACCACCAACCCCACAACCCCCCACAACCCCCCACAACCCCCCACAACCCCCCACAACCCCCCACAACCCCCCACAACCCCCCACAACCCCCCACAACCCCCCACAACCCCCCACAACCCCCCACAACCCCCCACAACCCCCCACAACCCCCCACAACCCCCCACAACCCCCCACAACCCCCACAACCCCCACAACCCCCACAACCCCCAACCCCACAACCCCAAAACCACCCCAAAAACCACCCCCAAAACCACCCCCAAAACCACCCCCAAAACCACCCCCAAAACCACCCCCAAAACCACCCCCAAAACCACCCCCAAAACCACCCCCAAAACCACCCCCAAAACCACCCCCAAAACCACCCCCAAAACCACCCCCAAAACCATCCAAGAGTCCTCCTTTGCCGCCAGGGCCGCTTCGGCCGCTTGCGGCAGATTCTGCCGGATGGGCGTTGGCTCATGGAGGTTGGCGAAACCTTGGTGCGCCTCCACCCGCGGCACCTGGTGCCCTGACACCAGCGCCACGAGCGCACCGCGCTCTACGAGCGGAGTCCGAAAAGCGTGGGGAGAGTCCTTGGCTTGCTGCGATAGCTGCGAGAGATGAATGAGAATTGGAAGGACCTCAGGAAAAGCCATCCAACTGGTGGTTTCCTTTGTATTAGGGGACCGAAGCCTGGGTTCATTCTCCAGCGCCAGCGCATGTGTTGAAGAATTCTTCTGGAACCTTGCGAGTCTAGATTGGATGTCGCAACACCCTCTTTGTGTTTACAAGCCCGCTAGGCGCAGCTGTCAGCGATGCAAGCGCTGGCGCAGGCATCTGCTTTGGTGGAGGTTTGAAGCACCAAAACACGGGAAACGGCACTTATTTCTTATCCACCCCAAAAGCAGCCGCAGATGCGCAAATGTAGTATCCTGGGCGAAACTTAAGCGGCATGCATGCGATGAGAAACCAAGCGGGAAGTCCAGTCCGGGATCTTAGCCCACTGCCCCCCAGGGTGAGCCAGAAGCAACTCCTCAGTAGATGTGGGATATGCCTTTGCACAGGCACCAGGGGAGTGAACCAGCCAGAATCATCCAGGAAGATCAGCATTTCTGAGGCCAGAGTGCAGAGAAGCTCAAAGCACAGGCCCGGAAACGGCCCTTGCGAACAAGGGGATCCTCTTGTTGCACCTCGCTTGGAAAACGAACATCCATCCCCGAGGTGCTGGACAGCCGAATGCTGAGAAGGGTGGCTCTCAAATGGCAACTTGAAAGGAGGAAGCCACCATGGTCTCAAGAAGCAATGCCAGGATGCGAGCTGGAGACGCGAACGCCGTTTATTTAAGAAAGATTGGAGTGAGGGCTTCTGATTCTTTGCAAGCATCTTGGTGGAGCTAACAATCAATGGGAGATGCAGGCTGCGACCAAGCCGCAGCTTGCAGCGAGGGGGCTCGGTGGATGGGTGGGCGGCTTTGCGGCAGGAGCGCAGGACAGAGGTTTGCGAGGCTTGTGGTCAAGGAACAATCAGTCACCCGTTGCATGGATTCATGTCACGTACAGGGCGGGTTACCTTCCTCCCCAAGTGTTTCTCTGGGTCCACTGTGCCTTGCACCTAGAGGGCTTTGACTGATGAGGCGGCCCTGGCATCTATCCTCCCTCCAGCTACCCTTTGCAGTACTTTCCTGGTCTCCCCACCTCGCCCCCAGGTTCATGTCTTTTTTCTCTCCAGCATTTTGGCTTTCAGCGGCATCCGTTCTTCCCTCGGCTTTCTCTGGATTTCTTTTCCTCGCCATGTCGGGTGGCACGCTGTCCAGCGACTTCGAGATGCTCAAGGCGCACTTGTTGGACATCCTCCGGGCCCACGAGGGCATGCGCGTCTTTTCCCCCAGGGAGGACGGCTCCACGCGGCGCGGCCCGTGGATCTGCGAGCTCGAGAAGGGGATGTTTTTTTTTTTTGGAGTCGTTCGGGTCGGATGGAGGTTTCCACCCAATTGGGGTTGGGGCGTTGAGCGGCTTTCCTGGCCGGGAGTTGGGGGGAAAGGACGGAGACCCAGAGAGGCTGACCGGGGTAGATGTCTTTCAGCCACCAACACGTCAGCCTCAAACTGCGGGCTGGGCGTATCGAAGCAGATCCGGTAGGGGCGTGGTCGGTGCCTCAGCACCGCCTGCTGGTCGGTGCTGAGGCACGCCTCGGGTTTTTTTTGGTCGTCGCGGGCCCAAGGATGTGTCACCTCGGATTGGATCGGTTGGCCAAACAGATCCCCGGCTCGGCAAGTTTCAAGGTCTGAATCGGGAAACCAAATCTGAAGGGTGTGAAACAGGGGGGCGCGGCCTCAGTAAGACAGCGCCAGAAACAAGGGCCGATTTGGCAGTGCGCCCGCCTTTGCCCTCGATGCACCCCCTCCAAACTGGTGGTTCCCATTCCCCTTCAATCAGGCGGTTTTGAAACATCAGCTGGGGCAAAGGGAAGCAAGTTTTCTGGGAAGTGATGTAAGCGGAGATATACGGGTTTGTCTTCTTTGAGGGTACGCTTTCCGGGTGGTTGTTACAGTGAAACAACAGGAACACCACCAATGTTGAATTTGTGGTGCCTTGTGAAACAAGCCCATATGGATATCGATTTTAGTGTATCCCCCCAAATTGTGGTCTCCCTGTGGGTTTCCCTTGAAGACCACTTAAAAAGGGGGTACCGACTGCAAAAAAGAGAGAGAGAGAGAGAGAGAGAGCCACCCATTTTCCCGGAAAGACGAGCCGAGGCAGGAGATGGTGCTGCTGCCCCGCGCGGCTTTGAAGGTCCTGGATGCCGCCGAGGAGTACCGCATGAAGGGGCCTTCGCACTTCTCGAAGGCGTTGGTTTGGGCTCGGGGGGGTTTGGGGCTCAGGGGGTTTGAGGCGTTTGGGCCAAATGGTTTGGGGGTTTGGGGGTTTGGGGGTTTGGGGGTTTGGCGGTTTGGGGGTTTGGGGGTTTGGGGGCTTGGGGGTTTGGGGGTTTGGGGGGAGGTGCGGGGTAGGGCAAAGAGTTTTTGTTTTTCCAGTGACCTGGTTTTGCCTGCTGCCAAAGGGCACTTCACCGGACCGGGGAGTTGCGTCGAAATTTTCTGGTACCCCAACGTTTTGCTTTTGCAGGTGGTGGACCTGGTGGAGAAGATGGACAACTACGAGACTTGGCTATTGGCCAAGGGATCTTCAGCCTCTAGCGATGATTTTCCACTGCCCCGCCAGCAAAGTTGAGCGCGAAACGCTCGCTCGGGCGTTTGGATTCCAAGGAGATGATGGTCACGGGCCGGGTGCTGCAGGAGATCTTGGTGCAAGCGGGGCTTGCGGAGGCCCACCACCGGCTGAGGGCCTTCAACAAGTCCGTGTCCCAAGAGAAGCAAGAGCCAGGGGCCTCAGAGTGCCAGAGCTGTGCCAGAGCTGTGCCAGGGGCCAGAAGGTGGGGCTCCAAGGCGAGAAAAAAAAGCCAATCCCGGACGGGGAGGATGGTCAGTTGAGACCTGGGAGGATTTGTGGGTTTTTCCCCTTCGACGTCACCCCAGGAAGCTCTACTTGCCACTAGAAGGTGATGTTTAAACCAACTGAAAAGGGACATGTGGCGATGCTGCTTGTGTCAATGCAAGAAAGCCACATGTTTTACAGCATTTGGGCACCCCGAAAAAAGAAACAAGTTCCCGAATTAGATATCCATCCATTTGGGAATTGTCAGTTTCCCTGGACCTAAACCTGGCCCCTCATATTGTCGTTTTTGGGAACTTGGAGATTGGCCAGTTCCTGAAACGGTCTTGGAGAGCACTTGGCTTGGTTTCCCATGGTTGGTTTCCCTTGTAATCTTAGATACTTCTGGAGCAAAGGCGTTCTCCCAAATCCTTTGAACAAAAGAACAAGAAGCCACGAGGCGCCCTTTCCCCCCATCCAAAAATGCCGTGCTTTGAACCCAACCAAAAGCCAAGGCTTCCACCGCGGCCCCTTCTCTCAGGATCCGGAACGTGGAGGACTCCTCCATTGTGAGCTTCAAGGGCACCTTCGAGAAGATGCTGCAGACGGGGAAAACCCCCCAGCAGATCCGGGAGGCGCGCGCTTTTTGGCGCGCGATCCACTGGGGCGGTTGAGGGAAGGGTTCGTGGATTTGTTGTTGCGACCGTGCTTCGCCCTGGTCCATGGAAGAACCTGAAAGGTCAGTGAATCCGGCGAACCCTGCCAGATACTCACCCAAAACGGCCCAGTTTCTCCAATGTTCTCGCGCCATGTTCGCCCATCCAAGCCATCGTTCGCGTGAGGCGTAGCCATAGAAGGTCAACATGTAGTGTCATTCACTGTAAGGGGCTGCCACAGGGCAAATCCACTCACCAAACTGCCAAAGGGAAATGGCGGTTACTCACCGACCGGCAGCTCATGCGCCCTGAGTTGAAGTTGGGTGGCGTCAAATCTTTGGCCATGGGTCAAAATGAAATCGCCAGGTTTCGTCCTGAGTCCATTGTGCCCATTTTCGGGCGCGCATTTTTGGGCACGCATTTCGTCCGCGGGTCCACGCAGTTTTGACCCACAGCCATTCGGCAGGCCATGATCAACCAGAAGATCGAGCTGGTGCTGACGGCGCACCCCACGGAGGCACAAAGGCGCTCGGCGCTGAAGAAGCACGAGGAGCTACGAGACCGAAGGCTGCGCGCCTTTTTGAGGGCGTGTTTGTTTGATCCATTTTTTGGGACACCAAAGGGACGCCTCTTGTTCTGGGGGTAGCCCCACTTTAACACATACCTAGTACCCATTTTAGTTCTCCAGGAATGACCGGGCCCATATATGTTTCCCTGGGTTTTGGGCGGCTTGAACTTTTATTTTTTTTTGGGGGGAGGGCAGATTCCTTGGCCAAAGCTCCCTGGGGGAAGTCCGTTTTTGGGAGGAATCGAATCCGTCCCAGGAGATGCTGCAGCAGATGAAGGTGCGCCTCGGCTCAGGGAGTTGGACGATCTCACAGGTGGATGGGTGGATGGGTGAGGGGATGGGTGAGGGGAGGGGGAGGGGGGGGGAGGGGGAAAATTTGGGGGTGGATGTGGATGGGTGGGTGGGTTGATGATGAAGGCTTTGTTTCTTGGTGTCGCCTTTTCAGGTTGGCTGAAGTCAGAACTCAGGCAGATTGGGATGGTGTTGGGGTTCCAGACTGAAGCCTTTGCGGTGGTCCCGGGGTGGGGGTGGCAGCAGCTTATACCAGCACGCTGGTGAACTTGTTGGTTAAAACGGAACTCCGATGACCCTGTTTGACGAGGGCTTTCCGGCCATCCGGTTTCTTAGGTGTTTGGCTTAGGTTTTGGCCGATTAGTTGGTTTAGTGCTTGGATTTCCATGGTACCCAAGGATTTTCCAGCCTAGCAGATCTGAAAAGTGGGGAGCCGTTCGGAGCCCTCTCCGGGCTGGCCGCTGGCCGCCGGCTTGGCAACGTCTCTGCCACGCGCCCCTTTTGTGTTTGCCCTTTCCGTAAGCGCGAGGTTTGGACCTCAAGATAACATCCCGAGCCCAGAAGCGCGGGTTTCGCCCCAGGCACAGGCACAAAGGCAGGGGAGGCCATGAAGCCATCGGTTTTGGATGGCTAGGGAACTTCAGGGATGGTTTGTAAGGCTTATAAGGGAGAAGAGGTCTTCTCCTTGGGCCCATTGGGGGTTGGTTTAAACACTGGAAACCAGCAGGAAAGCCACCGGTCTCCATCCAGTCCAGCCAAGTATGGCTGAGATGAAGACCCCTTTCGAGACCTGGATGAGTCAAAACTCGGGGGGCGTTTTTTCGGGGATTCCTTTTGCCCAATTTCTGAAGAGCGATTTGCCAGAGTAACCTGTGGCTTTCGGTAGGGTATATTTAAATTCGAAACGAAAATGCGGGCACTTGCCATCTACTTTAAGCCAAATGTTTTCAGGCTGGTTTTTTGGGCTGGTGTGGTCAGCTCCTTTACTCAGCCACAAGGGGAGTTGGGCCCTCTACTTTCCTTGAGGCATGACGGCAAGGACCAGCTCACACCTGGGCAGCTGCAGGAGTTTGTCACTCAAAGTCGATGTTCCGAACCCCCAGGGCAGGTCCCCTTTTTCTTGGGTGGGGGGGGGGTCGGAGGGTTTGGTTTCCTATGTTCCCCAACCCTTAGGGTTTCCCTTGTTCTTGGGGGGGGGAGGGTGTGGAGGGTTTGGTTTAGAAGTTTGGAGGGTTGAGCTTTGAGTCGATTTGGGATACCGACGTGGGCCACGATCACGTGGCTTGGGTCCCTTGGCTCACGGAAAGTGGGACTCCCTGTGACGTCTGGCCCCTGGCCCCTGAGCAGTTTTCCCACGGGAGAGAATCCGATGTGACCAGTTTGCAGCTAACACGTGGGTTGCAAAATAGGATGCAAACAAACACATGATCTTTTTCTGGGGCGGTGGCCAAAGAAAGGGTTCCCTCACCTTTTTCCCTTGTTGTTTGGTGAGTTCCCCACCATGGTCAATTCTAAAGAGGCTTCTGCTAGTGACCCGGCAACTTGGGCACGGGATTGGTTTCTTGAGGGCGTGGTACTCCAAAATACCCTAGCGCGGCCGGGGGGAGGGGGTGGCGAGCTCACCATTCGAATAGCCGGGTTCCGATCGCGTGCGAAGGACAATCATGTGTGCATCCGAAAGGAACCCATCTGTCAGAACATTCATGGACAACCTGAGATGAGGCCTCCGGGGCCAGAGAGTGCATTCCATCCGGTGTGGCCTTTTGCTTGTTTTCTTGGAAAAGACGAAGAGGGCTACTATATAAGCCACCTGGAGGGATGCCCATTCCAACATAGTCCAGCATATTCCAACATCTAGGCAACAGGGTGAGGTGGGGTGAGGTATGTTCGGGGGCTTCATTCGGGAATGTGTCCAAGTCGGGTGCCCCTTCCAACTCCAATTTGGTCGGCCGAGAAAGGGCGAGGAAATCGCCACAGGCCTGGCATGGTTTCCTGATAGACGTCAACCCATTCACTAGAATTGGGGCTAGCATCTACGTTCTTTTCCTTGCTCGCCTGCCAACTGCCAACCGAAAATGCTTTTTTTTGAGACAGCCGGGCCTACCGTACGGTGTTTGGGGCGCTTTCCCTTGAACTCAGCAAGAACATCCGAACACATCGCCCTGGCTCGACACCTTTGGGGCGCTTTCCTTTGGCCCGACACCGTCAGGAGCTGAACGAGAAGATCCGCGCCATCCAGTGGAGCTGCTGGCGCACCAACACCGTGCGCCGCACTCGGCCCACCCCGGAGGGCGAGGCGCGCAACGGCATGCTGGTCATCGAGGCCGGCCGGGCGGGCGGGCGGCGGCCGCACCCCGGGAGTGGAGGGGTTTGGGGTGTGAGGGGCGGCAAAATCGCCGGAGCTTTTTGACCGTTGACCATAGAATTGGGGGAGGGGGGTGGTTGGCCCACCTGTCCTAGGTCCCCCAGTAGTGCCCTTTTTTTAGCCCTTTTTTGGGGGAGGGTTCTCCTTGTAAAATAGACTACACAGAGAAAAGGGTACCTTTATTCTAACCTCTCTACTGGAGGACCTAGTGTCGGTAGCTGAGTGTGAAGGGAAGCAAAGGTGCCAGTGGACGAAGGCAACAGTGAGCAACTCGTTTCTTTGTGCTTCTCAAGTGTTAGGACGTCCACAACAGCCAATTCCCCCCCCCCCCCTTTGGTGTATTTCTATTCATGATATCGGCTAATGCAGGGTTAGTTGGTTAAAGTGTTCAACGCCGACCGCTTGAGAGCAACTAACTCGGACGATTGTGAACTTTAGGGACCTTCAGGGGAGAGTCTTCTATTTGATCTGCGGGTCTCGTGAGCTTGAAGACAGCCCGGCGCCACACAGGGGTCCTTTTTGGTTGTTTTGCTATTAGATGGTCCTGGTTTACCTGGGGCCATCTATTTCCCCCAAAAGGACGCCTATGCTTGGCGCGTGGCTCCGCATCCCCCCGACGCGACGAGGACACGGTTTGGAAGGCGGTGCCGGAGCACTACCGGCGCCTGGATCGGTGCTTGAAGCGCATCGGAGCGGAGGGCCTGCCCCAGGAAGCGAAAGCGGCACATTTGGGGAAGACATGGTACGGACTTTGAGGGCCATCTCTCGTTTCAGCTTGGTGATTCATCGTTCCTGGATGTAGATAGGATGATGTCATGTCTGTTTTTGATGCACCCGTGATGATATGTGTTTTTTGAAGTCCGTGTTCCGTGGCTGATGGTTTTCGAGGGGTCTTCGTCGTTTCCAGGAGTGCTCCATCCTGAAGATGAGCAGCTGGATGGGTGGTGACCGGGATGGGAACCCCAACGTCACATGGAAGGTCACCGAGCAGGTGGGGTGGGGGGGTGGGGGGGTCCTTAGATGGGTTCCTGAGGGCGTTCTTTAAGGTGTTCTTCAGGGGGGGTTCTGGGGTTTCGAAAATTTCTGGAAGATTCCCGGAGAGTGTTGTTTCAAGGATGTTGCCATAGGGTTCCTTGGGTTTTTGGTTGGGGATTCCTTTGGTTTCTTTCAGGATTTCCGCGGGGGTGCTCTGGCGGGAGGGTTGGACCAGCACCCTCAAGTTCCCTTCTTGGTGGGGCGTATCATTCGGACACCTTGAGTCAACAACCCGGGTGAAGCTGTCAAGGTTTTGGCCAGACTCTCGGGTCAAAATGGTGGTTGAAGTGAGGTTTCCTTGGGAACCTTAGTGGAAACTAAGACGATCACTGAGCGAGCTGTTCGGGGTTGAACCGCGTCACGCGTTTCAGGTGGTGACGCTTCTGCGGTGGCGCATCGTGGAGCTCTACTACCGGGAGGTGGATGAGCTGCTGTACGAGCTCTCCATGACTGGGGAGGTGCCGATGTGTCTGGGGGTCCAAGAAACAAGCTTCCACTTGAACCTGGGCTGTTCTGGGCCTTGGAATCTTAGGGCCAGTTTTCGGCTTCGTACATGTTTTTTTTGGAGAAGGAGACGTGGCCGCAATTGTTCTGACTTGAACTCCGGCACCTGGGGTACAGCGAGCCCAACAAAAGGGTTGATGAACCATCTGGCGCCTGGCGCGGATTTTGGCCAGCAACATGTTTTTGGAAACACCCGACATGGGAATGGCGGAAAGATTGCCGGGGTTTGTCTTTTTGCAGGGTGCCTTTCTTTCTTTTCTTTCGAGGTTGGTTTACAGGGACACCAACGGAAACCACTGGGTTTTAGGGGATGTGTTAAGACACATCCAGTCAGAACAAGCTTCTTTGGAGGAAAACAACTCCGCAATTATTGGGCAAGCTGCGCAGTCTGCTGCTTGTGTCAATATCTTAGAACTGGCCAATTTGTTCAGGTGCCCCAGGTGAAGTGGGAACTTGGCGCTGGTGAGTGCGCTTCATGACATCCCCATGATTACAGTGGATGACTATGAACAATTCTCGTTGCTCATTTCTGATCTGGAAGAGAAGGCACAATAAATTGAAGCATTCCTTCAATGACTAGAGACTGACTTTTTCACCCTGCGCTGCGATGCATTGCATTTGTGAGGTGAGTCACAATCAAAACCGGGGTAGTTGAATGCAAGGAACAGTCCCAGCGGTAGACTCGCTCTAACCTTTGGTTGCATCTTGATTGGTGCCTTCCACTTCTTCTTCTTCTTCTTCTTTTTTTTTATACATATAGGTTCCCCTGTCAATACCCGGGCTCGATTGTGACTCAGGATTTCAGATGTCTTTGCATAGTATATGCCAGGGGTTGATTCCTCCCCGGTTGGTCAGTGGCGCCCCTTTCCCCCTATCACTTAATGGTTCCCCCGGCAAATAATTGGCCGACCACAAAAAGGATTTGTTCCCTTTTCCGCTAAGGAACTTGGTTCCTTTGGAAAGTGCACTTCTTTTCGGGGAAGGATAGTGCCATCGTTTCGGGTCACTGGGGAGTTTTTTAAATGGTGGACCTTGTTTGGTTTGTATTCAGAGGAGAACGAAAGGACACAATTGCCATTTTAGGACCCCTCTCCCCATTCCTATTTTCGGAAACACCAAACTCCTGTTGCGCAGTCGAGAGGGATCTCACATTTTTCGTTTGTCCAAAGTATGATCCATGGGGCACTGGTGGAGACTGGTGGGGCTGGTGGTGCTGGTAAACCTGCAGGTGAGTCAGGAGATGAAGGACGAGGTGGAGCGTGTGAGCTCCATGTGGGCGATTTCGGTGTCCGGCCAGAAGGCCCTTTTACCTCGTCCGCTCGAAGTCGGGGGAGTTGACGCGTTTCCGTGGCCGCGGCTCCGTTTGGACCCCTCCGAGGGAAGGCTTTTGGCCTGGATCTGACTCCTTTCTGAGCACTTTCTTTGGGAAGATCTTTCTTTATTTTCCCACCCAAAAGGAAACACATTTTTTTTTTTGGGGGGGGGCAATAGCCAGCAAGCAAGGAGCTGCATGTGGTGCTTCCGTTTCGTTCTACAAACTGGGGATTGGAGAGTACCCGGTCTTTTTTGAGGGTGCTGCTTCTCAAAGGCACATCAAAGAAGAAGCCGAAGACCCGAACCCTGAGGAACGAATACCCTAAAAGAAGGTCCAAGATACAGTGGTCCACCCTTTTCCCCCCCTCCATCCCTTTTGTGGAATTCCAGCTCCTTGTGTCAGGGTCCCTTAAAGGACATACTTGGGCGCTGATTTGGAGGATCCCTTTGCTGGTTTTTGGACGTATCCTTTTTTCGGGACTCAGTCCAATCCATCGAACTCCTGAGGTCTGCCGCCCCGACGCCCGGAGTGGCGTCCACTGGAACTTCCACACGGGGGTGGCGGCGGACGAGCCCTACCGCCGCCTGCTCATGGCGATCCGGCGCAGGTGCTACAGGACCAAGGCCTCGACTCGACTCGAACGACTGGTCGCACCCTGTCGGGTTGCCGTGGCTCTATGGGCGGTTGTTTCCAACCAAATGGATGGCTTTCTGGTTTCCTCCGAAGACCAGCTATGAGAGGTCCATTTTTGGGAAGCTCCACTATTTGTGGCGGTGGGTTGGGTTGGACACTGGTATCCCTCGGAGGTGGGTACACTGTGGGAGACATTCGGAACATGCCGATACTGAGTGAATAATTGCACTCAGGTCCTTCCACGTGTCAAACGTGAAAGGACTCCCGGAGAGTGAAGTTCTGAAGGGACGCCACCTTTCTTTGGCCTTGGTGTTTAGGGTTTTCGCTTAGCGTTTTAGGGTTGACTTAGGTCCAGTGCCTAGCACTGACCAGGGATGCTGTCACTGGCAGCTGCGGAAAGCTTGTGCTTGTGTTCCTCTGGGTTCCGAGGGGGGTTTTCTGGCCGGCCCCCTTTTAGGACCTCCGACTTATTTCTTTTTTCTCTTCCCTAGCCCCTTTTAGGACTTCCGTGTTTCCTCTTTTTTTTTTTCTTCCTCCCCTAGAAAGCCAAACATTGCCGTTTGGTGGACGGAAAGTGCGTTTCCTCTTGGTGGGCTGGAGCTTTGCTGTTGAACATACAGGGTTGATACCGGGATTTGATCCGAGTCTTGGGTGGACTCCTTGAGGGACCAGGCGTTGATTGTGACTCACTTGGGTGTTTCTCCTAAAATTTGGGCCGCGCAGTGGCTGCTTCAAAGGAAACAAACAAAAGTCTTTTGTGGTTGGACCTAGGAGACGTACCCTCACCCTTCAACATGGAACCGAACTGGGGTTGGACAATTTTCCTCTGGGAGTGACCCTCTGCTGAGTTTTCTGGCAACCTTGGTGGAAGGGTATCCAACTTGCAAGTTGCTTTTTTTGGGGACGTATTCTTTCAAACGCATGGAAGGCGCTTCTCTTGAGGGGCCCGTTTAGAGGCTATTTCAGTGGGGATTGGGATGTTCACTGGGGGAACGATTTGGCTTTTGACCCACAGCCATGTCACTGGATGGGAGGGCATCCAACTTGCGCGGAACGAGTCGCCGAGTTTTTTTTTCCCCGAGGCGTCGATGGAGGCCAAGTACCTTGGCATGCCCATCGATGAGGACTTCGAGCAGGAGGCGGGGTTGAGGGCAGGGAACACCGAGCCTTATGGGCTTTGCGATTGGTCTACTGTGCAGATTAATATTGACTTCCCAAAAAGATATCTCGCCATTTCTGGAGGACTGTCTTCCTTTCCGGGTTCCATGTTCATTTGCAGAGGAGACCTAAGGTGCTATTTTGCGAATTGGAGGGCACCAATGTTACTAAGCCTCAGCTCAAGCTGCTGCGAAAAAAACAATCATGTTTGTTGACATTTTTGCTGACAACTGGCTTATTGCCATGGTTTGAAGTGTTTGGATTGAACATGTGGTTTATTGCCATGTGTTCAACCACAATTGTTATGTTTAAAGCACAGTGGTTTATTGCCATGTGTAATCACTATGTGTGTGTCTTGTGGGCAAAAACGCCCTCACTTGGATTTTGGCAGGATTGTCGTCGACCTTTGGTCTAGTTGTTGTTGACATTGTGGACGACCAATGTCAAGGTTGCCATAAGGGGAGCCACTAGATAAGGAGAGTTCAGACCATGTCATGTACCATGCCTCCTGTTCGGTGTTGGTGTCTGATGTCCCATCATCTGAGCAGAGTTGGGGGTTACTTCATCCATAAACCAGGGGTTCATACCAGGTTCGACCATGACACATGTGATGTGAGCACAGCCCAAGACCCTCTTGGCAATATTTGTGGATGGTTCTACTACCTGAGCTTACACATACATGTATATATTTAGATACATGCTCAGCCCCCCCCCCTCAGATCTACCTCCTGCTGTTTGAAGTCCTTTCTAGTTGTTTCTGTTTATTAACAGTACACATGTTTATGAGTTGTAGAGTGATGTGTAAGATGCAGAATCATGAAGGTAGATGCGCGTGCGTGCAAAACCCCTGACCGGATTCTGGTCTCTTTGCATTCCACGTTGAGCCGGGCATGCCAAAGAACCATGCATGTCTACCTCTTGTGTGCTACGCTTGCAACGTATGAAACAACCACTGTCTTTTTCCTCAAGTTTGAGGCATGTGCACTGAAAAAACATACGTCAGCTTAATTTGGCTCTTCCCAATGCACGCAGGTGCATTTAATGGAGAACCTAGCCATTTCAAAGTAAACCAGTAAAAGTAACATGGACAACCAAACTCTAAGACAACCAACGAAATAAAAGAAACCTCTGGGGGAGAATCTTTGGTTTCCGCCCCCGAACTTTCTTTGGTTTTCTCGAGTTTGTCTTTTCCGTCAGTTATTTTTTGGATTTGTGACCTTCTCCCTCACAAAGCCAAACAACTCGAGGTTTCTTGTCTTTTTAGAAGGCTAGATGTCCACAAACCAAAAAAGCCCCGAGTTTTTGTTTTGTTACTGAGCAAGGCCAAACAATCAACATGTGGGCATTAAAACAGCAAAACACCTGGAGAACACACAAATAGCAAATTTGGGGCTGAAGCCAAAGATTCTCCCCCCAGATTTTTCGGTTTTGCCTTTGTTGTTTTCTCTTTTTGCATTATCCCTCCCCAACACAAAAAGCCGTGGCTTTTTTGACTTTCCTTCTGACACGCACAGAAAAGCAACCAACCACTGAATTTTTGTGAGGGCATTGCCCATCAAGTATTGTTGTTTTTGTTGAGATCTGGTCCTTATGTTCTTGCTGCAGATGGATGTGGCCATTTATGTGCACTTGCGTCGATATGCGTTGACTTCTTTTGCTGAAAACAAATACCAGCGCATTCCTCATTTCTCGACCTCAGTCTTGACCAGAAAGAACCGAAAGGGGCTTCAAACTCAATGAGGACTGAATGGAAAAAGAAGGCTCAGCGTAAAGCTCCTAAGGCTTCCAAAAGCTCCGGAAAGGCTCCTGAGAGAGACCTTTGGCTCCCAAGGATGTGGAATCAAAAAGATGGTATTATTGAACAAACCAAGTAGAGTTTCTGTTCACAATGTGAACTTACGGAGAAGTTCCTTTCCAAACAAGATCTTCATGTTTGAGAGTTTTTGGCTGAATTTAAAGGGGGGGAAGAGGTTGATTCGCATTTCAATTTTGACTTTGGCCCTAAATACAGAATCTGTTTTTCCAACAAGATCTCGATCGATCAACCTAATGATAATTTGAATAGAGCTTAACAACGACGGAATCTTAATAGAACCCCTATCTTCAAATAGAGTGGAGTTGATTTAAATTTGCAAGTGGGACACAAAACAGCCATCAATGATGTGCAATGACAGGCAGGTCGGACATTCTCCAAGAACATGTGCTTTAGATTTGCAGATGGGACAGAAGCCAACATGAAAAGGAAGATCATGCCGGGGGACGCGGGGGGGGTCAGCATATGTATACATGTATATATATATATACACATTTATGTATATATATATATATATACATGTGTATATTTATAACCTTGTGTGTAACTTATGTTGGTGGAACACATAAATGCGTGCAGCGCGCTGCTCATATACAAGAGACCTGCTTACCAGGGGTTAGTGGGCTATGTCATTGACACATGCGGTCTTTTGGGCGTTGCCAAAAATAGGGTGCCTCGCTTGTGGGTTTCAAGAGATACCAAAAGGGCACCAACCATTTTCAGGCCCCCTATCTTTCGAAGCACTCATACAACTCACACGGGCTTGTCATTTTTTTGGGGTCTTTGGGCGTCTTGTAAAAGGAACTCAACAGGAGCTCAACCATTGCGGGGTTTCCCTTCCTGGACCACCCGCATGCTGGTCGTGTCAAAAAGCACGGCCCTTGGTCGATCGATATGAGTGGCAGGTGCTCACGTCCTCGGAGGAGCTCACGCGGCCCTTGGAGATCATGTACCGCGCCTCGGCAAGTCGTCGCGACCGCGCGACCAAAGGAACTGGGGCTCCAACCCACGTGGGTTTTGCCGCTCAAAAATTCATTTGCCACTGCCCTGTCCATGAGTTCTTGGTCTAGCTTTGTTTGTGGCTAGTCCTTTATGGTGGTTCTGTTGTTTGTCAGCTTGTTGCGGTCAAACGGACATTGTATTTCTCGTTTGGCTTCTTGCACATGCCAGCCAGATGTGTTTGCAAAACGAGTCACGCTCGTAGAAAAGAAATCCAACCGATTGAGCTTGGAGCGTGCAGACGACAAAGAACGCAGGTCGATTGTCAGTAGTGTTCTTTGGCAAGCCACTTGAGCGTTGGTTGACAAAATGCATCCTGTTGTGCGCCCTCAGTTCTCTCAGAACAACCCTGCACGGAAATGTGTCAGAACTGAGTCCATCTTACTTGGGATCCTAGAGCTGGTCATCAAGCTCTCAAGTAATGGACAAGGGCAAACGCCTTTTTTGCACTTTTGGGTGTCGTTGGTTTTCCCAGCCATGATTCTGGCCTTTCCCCTCAACCGCACAAAGGGCTGGAGAATTTTCGGCATTTCTGGACCACCCCCCCCAATCAGACCTTTCGGCCAGCTTTCGGCCACCCTTCGTGAGGTTCCCTGATAGAGAACGGCGACGAGATCGTGGCGAACGGCCGGCTGTTGGACCTCATCCGCCGGGTGAGGACTGGGGCAAAGTTGGTTTAGGGAACAGGAGCATGTTTTCTTTTTTTAATTTAATTTAAGGTTTAAACACCTCTTTGACCAAGCTTGGCCTAAACACCTCCTGGAGCAAACTTGGGTTAAACACCTCCTGAACCAAACTTGGCTTGAAGTGGCAAGATTGGGAATTAGGAGGCTGTTCGAAAAAGGGGGGGGGCGTTCAAAACAAAAAAAACCGACGCCCTGATTTCACCCGCCAGGACCTTCGGCATCTCCATGGCGTGCCTGGACGTGCGTCAGGAGTCGGACCGCCACGCCGAGGCGAGGTGAAAGGGTGAGGTCGGTCGGGGGAGGTGGGCCCCGTAAGGATCAGCTGAACAGCCATGGCTGTGGTCAAAACCGTTCTGGGATCCCAGAATTCACCACCCATTTTAGAACCTATTTTAGTGGTTGGATTGAATCGGATGTCCACATGAGTTTGTCTCAAAATAGGAAACACCCCAAAATGGTGGTTTTCGTTTTGGTTTCCGTTTAGCTCCAGAAAGAAAAGGGTTCCCTCGAAAGAAACAGACAGAGCCACATAACTCTGTGACGACGTATTGTTGGTATGTGTCTAGGGAAGCCACAACTTTTAAACCACCCAACCATTTGTTGTTGTTCTCAGCAGGGAATGAGGGACTGAACCCCATCATTCCCCTTAAAGGAAACCACCCTCATTCCCTGAGCACCAGCAAGTCGATGACGACTGATTGTTGGCTTTCAAGTACAGACTCGATTCTACTTAGTGTGAGGCCTCTCTTTTTAGTTGCGATCTCGCAGGTGTGTTCAAAGTTGCTTTGGGTACGGGTTTTTCTTTAAACCACCGTGTAAATGGGCCGTGTTGGGGTAACATTGGCTTAAAAACGATCAGACCCGACAGCTAGAGGAAATTCCCCCAATGTCCCAGTGAAGACTCGTGAACTTGGCGCCAAGAGACAGCCGCAACTCCGCTGGCGGGGGGGCTGGGGGCATTGGACAGTCTTTGAGCATGGTTGTTGGGAAATAGCAGTGGGCGGCATTGGACCACATTGGACATAACCACGGGTTACATTTTTGCTTGTTGTGGTTTAGCGGTTGAAATCCAAATCCACTGAACTGCTAAAGTCTTTTTCAATTTTGCTCCCCTTCCAACGTCAACCGGGGGGAGAGGGAGAAACGGGGAACGCGACACTGCTGAACTCCAGAAGTGGACAACAGTGGACAGACCGCTTTCGCCACTCCCCGGCATGCCGGCCCCGCTCAATGACAAACTCTCCCAAAGGAAAACATATTCTCTTTTTACATATGGCTGTGGGTCAAACCCCCGTACCCCCAGTGAACATCCCAATCCCCACTAAAATAGGTTCTAAAATGGGTGGTGCACCTACCCCAAAATGGTATCCCATTGGTGTTGACCCACGGCCATATTTATCCAGACATTTTCTGCGGGATTCCAGTCCAAATGGGCTGGTCTCCCAGGCATTTGCAATTGTCCAGATTCATGCAGCAGGAATCATTGACGGTGTTTGTGTTCGGCATTTCAATTGAGCATTATAATTTGATTGACACAGGAACTTGTAGTTGGTTTCCAAATGTCAAATTTGAGTTGATCATCAAACTGGTCAGTGTTGAGAGCCTTTCCAATAAGTGGGTGTTCTGGGGAAGCTTCTCCCCACCACTTTGAACCGTTGTTTCTTGGTAAGAACCGGGGAAATCATTGTTGCAGGCTTTCTGAACGGTGCGAAATGGGCTTCGCAGTGATCCACACTTCGGTGGGAGGATACTTTCCACCAGCCCCTACAGTCTCCTTCCCAAGTCCACAGAGTTCCTCACCCCTCCCCCCCCCCCCCACCCCCCACCTTCTCCCCCCAACCTTCCACCCCCCCCCCTCCCCAACCTTCCACCCCCCCCAAACCTTCCACCCCCCCCTCCCAACCTTCCACCTCCACCCCCCCCAAACCCCCGCAGGTCTTGGACACCCTCACCGAGTTCCTGGGCCTGGGTAAGTTCACCACCTGGAGCCTCGCCGAAGACTTCTTGATCGGGGAATGACGAGCCAGGGGTCGGTTTTTTTTGCCCCAGCTTTGATCGATCAGCCCAGAGCTCGGTAAGGGTTGGTTGAAGTGGCTTGGGCCCTTGGGAGGGTTCAAAAGATTCGGTTCCAGGGTGGAGACCGTTTCTGCACACACCCCAAAGTTCAGGTTTGGTTGAAACTTGATGAATTCCACTTTCAGTTTGGTGAATTTCATCTACCAGGTTTTATCCACCTATTTTGAGGATGCATGGATTCCACCCTTCGGTACTTGAATTCCCAAAATATTCTTTGTGAACTGGACATCGATGTGTCGGCGCACCGGCGGAGCTAGGACTTGGGTCTGGGGTTTCATTTTTTGAGATCCAGGATGGTTTTGGGGCCACTTTCGGTGATACCCAAGGGAATCGTGTCAAAACGAAACAGGGGTTGCGTCCCTTTCACTTTGAGAGTAAACGAATCGGGCCAGTGGTCATGGGAATGACTCACGTTGGTATCACAAGCGTGAGCGGAGGCTTCTTGAGGGGAGAATTTTGAACATCCATTCATGGTTGTCGTTGGGAAACATTTTACATTTTTGCTTATTGTGGTTGAGTGGGAAATCCCCACTTAACCGCTAAAATTAAAATGTTTGCTCCCCTTCCAACGTCAACCAAGACATTGAACATGTTTTCTCGAAATGGCTCGTGGGGGTGGATGTTACGCCATGTCGAGATCCAAGGACACCGACCTTCCCCAAGCAGCATGTGATATATTCGGGTTTGACTGAACATGGGACAAATAAAAATATAGAAATGTATGTTTTCTGGCACACCGAACATGTTATATATTCGAGTTTGACTGAACATGGGACACAATAAAAGAAATGTATCTTTCCGTGTGCCCCAAATGTCCAAGGAAAGAGGAGGAGAAGTGCAAGTGGTTGGTGGAGGAGATCGAGTCCAAGCGCCCCCTGCTCACCCCGGACATGCCCATGAGCGACATTGTGGCGGAGATCATCCAGAGGCTAAGCCTGGGCTTGGCAGCTCTTTTTTGTTTTGTTCCGCGTTGTTTTTTCCCCGTGTTTTTTCTTCTTTTTTTTTTCTTCTTTTTTTAAATGTTCACTGTTGATGGCAAGTCTTTAGTTGTTTTTTTGCTTTTCGGGCTCTGTTCATTTTTAGCAGGGCTGCAAAAAACACGGATTTTTGCTACCATACCAAGGATCGTAAAGCTATGGAAAACAACAACACATGAAGAGCCAAGGAAGGGTAATAGAAACAGCTTCGGCCAGGCAGTGTTAAATATAACTCGTTTGGGCGATTCGATGGACGAAACCGAAGACGCCATTGTTTTTCCCGAAGCCAAACAAGAAGCCCAAATTATTGATATTCGCCTTGAATCTACGCAGCGGTCCTTTGCCATTTTTTTTTTAAATGCGCGTTTCTTTTCGTGCTGGTGCCAACAACTCTAGAAGGAAGGGTTTCTTCCTGGAAAATCTCTGGGCCAGGCGCTCTTGTTATTTGTGGCGGTTCACCCAAGAGTTCTCCACCCGGGAAGGCTTGGCTTGCCTTCGGAACGCTTCTGCTTTCTCCTTTTTTTGTTGTGGCTGTGGTAGTCAAAACCGTTCTGGGATCCCATTTTGGGGGGTTTTGGTGAATTCACCACCCGGTTTAGGACCTATAGCGGGGATTGAATCGGATGTTCACTGGGGGTACGATTTGGATTTTGAGCCATGGCCATGTAGAAGCCCGGAACGCGTGGTTTGTTTTGACAGCTGCATTTGAGAAATGAAAGCGCTCTGTGTCTTCGCGTTTTGTGCTCATGACCGGCACACCGATTTCGAGGCCACATCGATTGGCCTTCGGCAAAGAGGGCTACTGATGGGATCATGATCACAACTCACAAAAGGAGTTTTGACCAAGGGCACCTACATGAGTTCATATACGTTTTTTTCTTCTTTTTTTTGAGGAAGCCTTGTTCACCTTGGTTCGAAAGGGTAAACCATCATTTCCCATGTGTGATGGGTTTGTCTCAAAATAGGGGTACCGGTCCCAAAACGAGCTTCCGTTTCCCTTTGGTTTCCCTTTCCAAATCCAAGAACCCCACCCGCTCCCCTCAACCCCCCTCCCCGCCCCCAACATATGGTTTACCAGTGCCGAGGACCTACCAGACCATCTCCCAGCTGCCAAAGGAGGCCTTGGGTGCCTACGTGACGTGCGATGAATAGCAGCCTCTTTTTTTTCCAACCCAAAGGGCATCAAAAGGGGAAGTGTATCGAGGCCTTAGCCGGTTCAGCCCAACACTTTGGCCAACCCTCGCGAAAGAAAAAGAAGAAGAAGAAGAAGAAGAAGAAGAAGAAGAAGAAGAAGAAGAAGAAGAAGAAGACGAAGAAGAGCAATACCCCTGGTTCTGTCATTTTCCCATTCATCTTCCCAAAATAATGGGTCCTGTGTTGAAAGTGTCAATCAACAAACAGGCCCAAAAGCGGATGGCGCTGCAAATCGGGCCTATTTTTTCATTTTGTTTCTTTAAAACGAAAACACTTAAATAATACAATAACACAAACCAAGTCAAACCTATATTTATTTATTAAGACAGTACAACCCGCGGGATATATAAAGATTAGAAGAGCGCTTAGGTGATCTCCATGAGCCGCGCCACCAGCGACATCCTGGCGGTGTGCCTGCTGCAGAAGCTGGGGGGCGCCAAGAAGCGCCTCGGATGGAACTCGCTCGTCGCCGGACGAGCGTGGAACGCGGGGCGGCCTTCCCTGGTGGCTGACGTTTTTGTTTGTTTTTTTTAAGCCAACAGCGCACAACAACACGTGTGGTATGATGCATGTGTTGAAACGACCGGATTTGGCGCGGTTTCTCTTGGCGTTTTTTTTTTTTTGGGGGGGGGAAGCGACGTCTTCAGAATGGGCTTTTCTGGGAGGTGCGCAAAGAAGCCAAGGCCCCAGAAGGGTCCGCTTACAGGGGGTGCCACCTGCCTCCCAAATGAAGCAACTGCCTGGAGGACTCCCTTACCCAATGTCAAGAGGGGGACTCCCTGGTATGGAGTTTAGAGGGAAGCCCAGGGTCATCCACAAGGAACCCCACATGTTTCACCACATGCATAAGCCATCGTATCCTGATTTGAGCAGTGCCCAAAACCCTTATTGGCCATGTTAATGGGGTTGTACACTGGTTGCCTGGGGATTAGAGTACGGTCTATGTAAACCTTTCTAGCTAGGTTGGTAGAACCAAAAGTCAATGAGCTTCGGGCGCTGCCCGTTTGGGATTCCATTTCAAGGGGAGGATCTCTGTAGAACCTGGTAGCCCTCCTTTTGCCAACCGTTCTCTTCCCCTCTCTTTTGGAGCAGAGATGACCCCCTACAACTTCCTGATGTTTGTACCCGCCCTTTGGTTTCCACCTCTCTAAGGGTTTTTGTATTACAGCCTGGGAATACACCCACTGGGTATTGACCCCATGTAGGCACATCTCCGGATAAAGCCGTGTTAGTTTTGAAAGATTCTGGGTCATTTCCCCCCGGGTGTAGTCCCAGGGTGTCATACAAAGCCCCTCAGAACCTTCCGCAACGCGTCGGCGCCGCGCGAGGATGATGCGGGTGGCCCCGCTCTTCGAGACCAGGGAGGACCTGATCAACGCGCCCAAGGTGGTGGACGCGGCGCTCGGCTTGCCGTGGTACAAGAACCACGTGCAGGGCAAGCAGGAGGCGAAGGGAGGAGGGAGAGAAGTCTCAGCTTGGCGTTGGTTGTTGGTTGTTGGTCAGGGCCGTGGGGAATGGAATCCACTTCTGTGATACAACAGAAAGGGCCTAACCCCAAGGACTATTTTCTTCATAGAAAGGGGGATTCCCTTGTATCACAGAAGTGGGGAGAAACCCCTTGATCCCACAACCCTGTTGTTGGTTGTTGTGGTTGGCTGGTTGGCTTGGCTTGGTTTGGCTTGGCTTGGCTTGGCTTGGCTTGGCTGAATGGCCCAACCCTGGAGGTGATGCTGGGCTACTCTGACTCCGCGACTGGGCGTGAGGTTTCGTTCCGTAGGAGCAGATTTCTGTTTATGGGAATGCAGCCATTTGGGTGGTGGCTGACGCGGCGGTTGATGTGCACGCTGGGAGGCGCAAGAGTGAGTCTTTTGGTGACGGAAAGGTGGAGAGAGGACCTTTTCAATAGCATATCCATCTTCCAAAACGTTGACAGTCTTCCGGAGAGGGCAACACCTTCCCATCAGCTTCCATGTCAAAGGCTTTTCGCCTACCACTCAAATGACATTTCCAAAAAGTCTAAAGTCCAAAACACACAACTCAAAGTCTTTAGTGGGAGTGTACCAGGCTTTCGCCCATTGCCACGTTCAGCCTGAGCAACGCCCGAAAGCCTCCAATTGCCATGATCATGGTAGGTTTCCATAGTGAGGCCTGTATAAACCTTCATAAGCAACCTTTTAGAACCAGCTCCGGCCATGATAGGTGGTTCTATCAGCGCTCATTCGCCAAAATGAATGTATGAAGGCCAGCTCGCCATCTTCGTACCAAAACTCGGCTCGAGTTTCTCATGCGGTTCCCTGTAAAAAGTCAAGTATCGAACCCTGTAAAAGACCAAGTATCAAACCCTCTGCAACAATTCAAGCATCAACTACTCATGGGTGTGCCCTGATGTGCCCTGATGTGCCCTGGTTTTTTGCTCCCATGGACATCCACGGGTCACCGTCAGCTCGGGTGCACGCGCACGGGCGCTTCGGGCGCTGCGTGCGCGGGTTTTTTGAGGTGAAGGACGCCGGGAAGTTCGCCTCCACCTGGGAGCTGCACCGCGCCATGGAGCAGGTCCTCGAGGCCGAAGCCCCAAGTTGTTCCACGCTTTTCCAAGCCGCCGACCCCCCCCCCCGGAAAAGGGAAAGGGGGAATCATCTGAGGTTTGAGCTGCTTGTTTTTTTTTTTTTTTGTGTGTGTGTTTTTTTTGTTGGGGAGGATCATTCAGCCATTTTTTTTCCGCAGCTGAAAGCGTTTTGGGGGTCCATAGGCCTATCGATGGGCGGGAGACGGGGTGGACTTGGCGCAGCTTTCAGGGGCTCAGAAGGAGATGCGGTTCCAGGGGGTTCCGAGGCTGGGGACACCATCTTGGGCTAATTTTGGGGTTGATCTGTGTTTTTCCCCCCCCCCCTTTTCTTTCTTTTTGTGTGTGTGTGTGTGCTTTTCCCCCCCCTTTTTTTTTAAAGAAGAACGTTTTTCCCCCTTTTCTTCTTTTTTGTGTGTGTGCTCTTTTTGTTTTTGTTTTTTCCGTTTTTCTTTCTTTTTTTTTCCTTTTCTTTTTTTGTTGTGTGTGTGTGTGTTTTTTTTTGGGGGGGGGGGAGAGGATCATCTAGCGATTTGGCCGATCTTTTTGGAGGAATCTTTAAGATAGGCGTGGCAAAGGAGCTGGAGCTCTAGCCTGGAATCTTGGTGGCAAGGGAGCCAAGTGCCCTGCGGATTGACAGGTGTCCCCAAGCAAAGGGCAGAAGGAGAGTCCTCTAAGACTGGATGAGTTCCGTGTTGATTTGGAGAGTGATACTGTGGATGGAAAATCCTGCACCACCTAAGACACTATGAAATGATTGATTCCCTGAGCAAAAAAAGCAAGCAATGGCTTTCCATGGTTTCAAAGTGGTGCGAACGGATTTCGTCCATCCACAGTATGGAAGATGTGGCAGTGAGGAAGCCGCTATACATCTCCCCTCGGGTTCGGTGCCTTCGGGAAACTCACAGGGCCGAAGAGGTGATGTTCAAACCGAGAACCGTTTTTCAGCAACGGGTTCCGATGGCTTGCACCCAAAGACGAGCATGTGTTTTTCGCCTCCGATTGTGGAGCCCATTTGTTTCGGGAGACCTAGAGAAATCTACTGAAGCATAGGGACCATTTAGATACAACCCCATATGGCTATGGATGTCAATAAGGCACCACCTCAAAAGCTGCTGCTGGACGTAAATGCGAGCCTGAATGATGTCCACCAAAGGGCCCCCCGAAAATCTTCCCCATGCAATTGTCGGGTTTCTCAAAATGGACCCGCGTGTCCTTTTTAGGTTGGTTTGGATAACAATAGATGGCCCTGGTTGACCTGGTTCTTTCATAGTCTTCCAGGGAAACCCATCTATCTTCCCAAAAGGACACCTGGGACAAGGACACTCTGGATCCCTCGTATTTGGGGGTGGGGGGGGAGGGGCGATCCGTCACCCCCCGCGCGCGAAAACGCATGCGCCAGGTGGGCCGCAAGCACGGGGTGGAGATCACCTTCTTCCACGGGCGCGGGGGGTCCATCGGCCGGGGCTCGGGGCCCCCGCACCTCATCCTGCTGGCGCAGCCCGCGGGGTCCTTGACCAATGGCCACCTGCGCCTCACCATCCAGGCGCGGAAAAACGCGTGCTGGGGCGCGCGTGCTGGGGGTTTTGCGCTGGGCGCTGGGCTTGTGGGTGGGGTGTATGTGTGCTTTTTGTTTGGTGGAGAAAGCTGGGGAGAACCAGCAGAAAGGAAGATGCTCGTTTGAAAGCTGTTGGAAGAACATGTTGGCCCAGCCGCAGGGAGAATCTGATGTGTAAGCTGGAAGCAGGTGGAAGAGTTGTTCGGTCAGAAGCGACTATGTGCAGGAGTTTTTGAACTTCGTGCCCGTTTTGGGGCCGTTCGCAAGGGAAACCGACTGGTGACGCCTGGTTGAAGTGCAGGGGGAGACCATCGGCCGGCACTTCCCCTCCGCAGAGGTGGCGGAAAGGCGGGGGGAGTTTGGGCAGTCGACGGAATGGCGGCGACCCCAAAAAGGGGTGTGCTGCTAAGGAAACCAGAGGGGAAACCTCGGTGAGTTTGGTTGGAAAATCGATGGGTTCTGGATGTGGGCTTGATGCCATCCGTTTACCAGGGAAGACTGGGTTTGTTTGATTGGGACACCCACTTTTCTGAGGCTTGCCCAAAATGGCAGACCTTTGGCAGGATGGAAACAAGGGAAGCAAGGAAAACAACGACTATTTTGAGAAACACTCTCAGATGGCTGTTTTGTAGGGTATTTTTCGGGCCATATGGGTGTGTCCGACCTTAGGGACCCAGGTTTACCTTTGCAACACAAAGGGACAGATTTAAATGGACAAAGAGAGAGGGGATCGATCCCTTTTCCAAAGTCCCCGCTGGAGCACCTGCCGAAAACACATGGGTGGCTCCCAGCCATCCTTTTCGCTTGAGAAGCGTTTTAGTTGGTTTAGTGGTCGGGCTTCCAAATCACCCACGAACAGTTCGTCACTTTTAGCCGGGGATCAGAAAACGGACAGCCCAGATATGGCTGACCTTCCCCCTCTTTTTGTAGATTTTCCAATTGAAACCAACCGGCCCCCACAAAGAAGGGCTCCATCCAGGCGTCATCTGAGGACTGGTTGGTTGAGCGGTTGGCTTTCCATTTGGTTGAATCAATCAGAAAAAAGGGGGGAAAAAAGCACCCAAGAAACAAAAAACACCAAACCAGGCGCCAGACACCCGCAGCCCGGCCGGTTTTCACGAGGGCTCCATCCGAGCGTCCGAGGACCCTGGAGCAGTACTCCACCGCGGTGCTGGAGCACACGCTGGCGCCCCCGCCGCTGCCCAAGCCCGAGTTCCGCGCGGCCATGCAGGCGGGGACGGCGGGGGAAAGGGGGCGGGGGGGCGGGGGGAAGGGGGGGAGCCATGGCTCTTTTTTTTTTTTTGGGGGGGGGGACGTGTTTTTTTTTGGGGAACCGGGGGGGAACCGGAAGAATCCAAATCATGTTGCAAGATCTGATCTAAAGTAGTTGTACTTCACTATATGTTTATAGTATGAAGAGAGTTATGGTAATAGTATGATGCTTTGATAAAATGATCAGTTGTTCATTTAACTTAGATCTTTGTGTCGGGCTGGCTTTGACTTGGAATCAAGGAAAAGCAAAGGAAGCCCCTCTTAAAGAGGGCTTCTGCACTCCTACGGGGGTCCCTTCATCTTCCAAAAGCGGGGGGGGGGGGGGCCATAGGCAAGCACCGGGTGCGACCCTCCCCCCGATGTATGTCTCCATTCAGTTTGGTTTGTTGCTTCCGAGTTTAATTGTGCGAAACAGCCAAAGGGGATCACACCACTGCTCCTAGCACTCCCCAATCACATGCTACTTTGATTTATGTTAGTCTTTCCCAGAGGGGGGTTGTGGGGGTTGTGGCCTCAAGCAGGGCGGGGTGCAATATTTGCTGAACAAAAGCAACCAACCAGGGTGGGGTAGCGGAGAGAGGAGGGTTGAGGAAAAATGGACCAACAAACAACGAGTCAGCCACCACGCCCCGGTCCAATAGCCAAAAGGAGAACCCTCCTGGGAGCTGGTACCCAAATATTACTTGGGTGTGTGGTTTCCTTTGGACCACCATTCATATTGTGATTGGTCCAATTCTTTGAGGATGTCACTTTTGGAGCAGAGAGTATTGCGAACCGTGTTGAAACCACCAACTGAAGGATCAAGAAAGCCAACACTGACAAACCCCCTTTAGACAGCTCAGCATATCTATTTTGGTCAAATTCCGCAACCGTGAAAAGCTCGTTGGTTAAACCAACCATGGGTTAAACCAGGGCTTGAACCGGCCCCAGGAGCTGGCGGATATTTCGGCGGAGCACTACCAGAACACCGTCTTCAAGAGTGAGAAGGACATCTTCTTCTTCTTCTTCTCCTCCTCCTCCTCCTCCTCCTCCTCCTCCTCCTTCTTGTTTTTTGCCGCGAGGTGTTTTTTTTGTTGTTGTGCTTTTCTTGCCTTTCCTTGTTGGGAGAAGAAAGTTATTTTCCACCTGGATTCCACCCTTGTTCCATTCCGGGGTTCATGACAAGTTGCCGAACAAAAAGTTGCCCCCCAAACAGAAAGTCGGACAGAAAGAAGTCAGAAGACCCCTCCCCCCAAAAAAAAAATCAAAGTCGGAAAAAAAACATCAACAAAAGAAGCCGGCAGGACATAGTCAGGACGGGTTCATGAATTACCAAAACATATGCCACCAAAGTTCGGAAAGAAGCCAGGACTCCCCCCCAAAAAAAAACATCGGAAAGAAAGGAAAACAACAAAAAGGCCGGCAGGACATCTTCGTGCGCTTCTTCCACACCTTTACGCCCACCTCAGAGCTGGGGCAGATGAACATCGGCTCGCGCCCAGCCAAGCGCCGGTCCTGGGGCGGCATCGACACCCTGCGGGCTATCCCCTGGATCTTCGCCTGGACGCAGACGCGGCTGCTGCTGCCGGCGCCGCGGAGCGTGTGAAACTAACTGCCGTGCGGTGTGAGGGGCCCCGTTTTCTTGGCGCGATGGGGGAAGAATTGGAATGACCCCAAGCAAAAACCGAAGCAAACACATCCAAGCGATTTGGTTTGAGGGAATCCCCAAACGGTTCATTCCCAACGTCCGGAATTCCCTACCTATCGCACCAGCAGTTGGGTTTAGAACGCGAAGCCAGAAGGGAAACCACAAGTTTTTGGGTTCCCTAGACACATACCAAAACATGGCTGTGTAGACGTGCATTACACCTACCAGCATGCATACATTGAATGCAATACATGTGAGTTTCAAAACATACCATTCCGTGTTCTGCATTCCGCATTGCGAATTCCATATTCCGAATTCCAAAATTCCGAATTCCATATTCCGAACTCCATTCCATTCCTTTCCATTTCCTTCCTTTTCATTCGGTTCTGTTGCATTACATTGTACATTACGCTCCGTCACGTTACATTGCCACCCCTCCTTGCACGTGCATGCCGCCAACTCTTGATCTTTTTTTCCAAGTCCATCTTGGTCAATGTGCAAAACTGGGCATATCCGAAATGCTTCTTAGGTGTGGCTGGGCAACGGTCTGGCGCTCCAGAAATACATCGACTCTGGCAAGCTTCCGCTGCTGCAGCAGATGTACAAGGCACCAGATTTGGTTTCGTTAGTTGACCCATGCCTGCTTTCCTGGCTCGCACAACTTTCTTCGCAGTCGAGCCACTGACTTAAGTTTCTTCTTTGATGCAATTAATGATGTTGGTGGTGGACACCCGTCTTCGAAGTTTAACTATCCATTGATTTCGTTCAGGGCTTATGCTGGGTGTGATCCGGGCTTACCTTGACCGCCGAGGAAGTACCATGATAGAAGGTTGGAGTCGCCCACCAGCCCAAATATGGTTCCCTGGGGGTTTGCCTGAAGGTTAGCCTCTTGAGCGAAAAGGGGGCCTGCATGCCGTACGACTCTTTGTTGGTATGATCACGGGAGCTTTTCTTTGGGCATGGAGGTTGGTCCAGATAGAGCGAAGCAGACTCACATGGTCACCTGAGATTTTTGCAGTTTCTGGGAAGCGGTGTCAAACAGTCACCACTTTGCCTTCCTGAGAAGAAGCAACACTCGGGTGTGTTTTTGAGGGCACCCTTTTGAGCTTTGCTTAAAGGGAACCATTTTAGGATTCCTTTTTTCCCACATGCCCAATAAAGGTGTCGAGCAAGAGTGCACAATACACCATACCTGCTGAGCACGATTCACAGATCCCTGGTAGCTACGTTTTCCTTTTTGTTTTTTCAATTACAGGGGGTGCAACTTGATGCTCTTTTCCAAACTGGGCTCTCCTCCAAAACTGTGATTTTCTCTATCCAGACTGGAAGATATGAGATATTTTAGGGTACGCCTCCTATGACCCACACGCTGAATATTGTCTTTTCTTTGTACCCCAGCTGTGGATTAAGAAAACAACGGGAACAGGGTCCAAAAAGTTGCACAGGCAATTCAAGAAAAAGGCTGGAGGTGAAAGCTTTTCTTCACACGTGTTTTTTCCCAGGTTTTGTACAAGCCCGTCTCCCCCAAAAAAGGCAGCCGAACGGGGGCCCTCGGACGCCAGGAGTGGCCCTTCTTCCG